GAAGACAAGATTTTTATGACTTAATCCACACACTTTACTGTTAATCTGTTCGCAGCCTAACATTCTGTGCAGCATGAAAAACACCTTATTTATCCTGATGCATGCTCAATAATCCAGGTAAAAAAAATCTAACAAAATTGAGTCAGGTCTTCTAGATGAATTCTTCTCGTTGAAACGTTTCGTCTTTTATCCAAAAGACTTCTTCAGTCTGAGGAGCTGCAACAAACTCATTCTTATAAATAGCACCTTCTCATAGTGGATCAACCAGTTTGTTGTTGACATCCAGAACTAGCTGTTGACATGATCAAGGAGGACCATAAGCCTATTAGTGTCCTGATGGCCGCTTGCTATTCACAGATGACAGTGATACTAGCAATAATAAGAGGGGGACAGTTGGACACGGAGGACTGCCCCGTTTAATGATGGATGGGCTATTTTCACAAAGATGGCCTCCTTTCTGAAACCATCATTCCTCTCTATCAAGGATGTGAACATCTTCATCCCTGAAAGAGTGACCGCTGGCCTGGAGATGAGCGTAAACAGTAGAGTCCTGGCCTGATGATGTTGATCTGTGCTGGGCCATCCTTTTGGCCAGTGGCTGTTTAGTTTCCTCGATGTAAGACTGATCACAGCCCTCCTGACACTGAAGATCATATATCAGAATCAGAATAAACTTTATTGACATTGCACCGAGATACAACGCGAATATGTGCGTACAGTCGTCCGAAGATGGGCGGAGTGCACAAAGCTGCGGCTAAAAATAATCAGCGCGGCCTTCTTATTCTTATTCAGAATAATGTTTTGCTTAGATAAGAAAAGGAAAGAAAACATGAGGAAAGACGGTATAAAAAAAAAGATCTCTCACACCGTGTCCTAGACAGGGCACAATTTGAAGCATCAAAAAATCCTACCACAGCAAAGCAACATAAACAGACGTTATACATTTACATATAGGCGGTGAAAACATTGAATTTTTAAGGGAAAGACGTAGCATAGTCCAGAGCCCCCCCCCCCCCCCCCCCCCCCCCCCCCC